GGAGAAAGATGTGGCAGTCTGCTTCCATAAAGATTACAGCCTTGGAAACCCCATGGGGCAGTTCTACTCTGTCCTATAGGGTCGCTATGAGTTGGAATCAATTCGATGGCAGTGGGTCTGGTTTTGCTGGGTTAAGAAATTATTAAGCATTTAGGCATCAATTCTGTTACCTTGGACAAGTCACTATTGCTCTGTACCTTAGTTTACTCATCTGTAAAATATGATAAGAATACTCATGTTTCATAAAGTTGTTATGAAGATCAAAAGAGACATAAAAGTGTTTCGTAAGGTAGATTTTAAAACAACAACAAAAAAACAAACCAGCTGCCATTGCGTTGACTCCAACTCATGGTGACCCCATGTGTGTCAGAGTAGAACTGTGCTCCATAGGGTGTTGAAAGGCTGATTTTTCATAAGTAGATTGCCAGGCCTTTCTTCCAAGGCACCTCTGGGTGGATTCCAACCACCAATCAAAAAGTTAGCAGCTGTGTGCTTACCTATTTGCTCAAGCAACGACTCCTATAAAGTACACTGTTGTTAATTACCACTGAGCCAATTCTGACTCATTGTGACCCTACGTGCAGAGTAGAACTGTTGCATGGAGTTTTCAAGGCTGTGATCTTTCGGAAGCCGATCACGAGGCCTGTCTTCCAAGGCACCTCTGTGTGGGTTCGAACTGTCAATCTTTTGGGTAGTAGTGAAATGTTTAACCACTGCACCACCCAGGTACTCTAAAGTAGATAGCCCTATACGATATGTTCATGATGAGGAAAATTTGTTTTCCCAAAACTAGCTAAGTCAAATTTCAACACTTGTTTACCTTTTCTTAACAATATAAAGGAGAACTGAGGCACACAGTGGCCAAGCAACTTGCTTACAGTAGAACCCGAAAGCTGAATAGTGAGTCTTCTAGTTCGTAGGTCATTAGAATACCAGGCCAAAATAGCAAGACATTTTAAAAAGAAAATTCCAGACATTTAAAATACAGATAGTCCCCAGGTTACAAACAAGATCCATTCCTAAATTGTGTCTTTAAGTCGAATATGTAGGTTAAGTTGAACAGGTGCATACAGTTCTTATTTAGCCTTACTTTGAAGCCTTTTCAATGATTGAAAAGCTGCACGTGCAGCAAGTGAAGGTGACTGTAATGAAGAATTTGTTGTGAGCAGGGGTTCAGTCGCTTCAAAGTGAGGGCAAATTTACATAACACTAAAGGGCAAGTAGTTGTTGTCTGTAACTGGGGGACTGCCTGTAATACATTCTTTAGTTCTATCTTTGATAATAGCTCTATTCTCTTTGTAAATGATAATATATATAAAAAGGTGAAATGTACCATTAAAGCCCAAATTCCATTCACTCGTAAAGCGGGATTTTCACTCTGGGTTAATCCACAAAGTAGCTCTACGGCTCCTGATTCTAAAATCGGCTGTGATTGGAAAAGAAAAGAAAACAGCTTTAAAGTCAGGTTTGTGAATTAAATGTGTATAGACCCCAGGACTATGCCTATGATTTCTTCCCCACTCTTCCCCACTCCAAGCTTCTTTCACAAAGCAAGGAATGAGGTGGTCAAAAAAATGACCCCGAAAAGGGCAAGGACAATTATTCTCTCACAAAATTCCAAAACAAAACTAACAATCTCTGTCATTTCCTTCTCCTTTGTAGTCCTGGAGGACTTGGGACATAACTCACATCTAAGAGACATCCTAATTATCTGTACATTTCACATATACCCTTATGATCCCATTATCTACCATCTCACTCTCCCCACCCTCTGAGACTCTGTCACTTCCTGTCCTGTGTATACATGTATCCTGTGTATTGTTCACAGGCGTGACTACGAAGCAATGTGGCTGGTTTAGGAAAGAAATGTAATGGAGCTTAGATATCCAAACTATCCTCCTTCCAAGTTATCATCTTGTTAATCTTATTCCAAACATGCTGCAGATTTCATCTTTTAGAACTACTTTCACATAAGCAAAACAGTCTTGTACTTTTATGGTCACACCACATTTTACACCTGAAACACATGCTTTAGCCTCAACTCTTTATCTATGATACTTGGCTGAGAATGAGTTTTGGCAATATCCAAACAAAATCAAACTTTAGAGGACTAAGATTTATCATTACTGAGGAAAGCTTAAAAGCTATCCCTCAAGAGGGTTTTAGAGCTGTGTTAAGCAATTCAGACCTACAAACCTAGGAAAAAAAGGGCAGTGCCTTTTAAGATGACATTTCCAAAGGGGGCTACACATTCCTCCACTTGTACAAACTGTAGTATTTTTTCCCCTAAATTTTATTTATTTTGTTGTTGACAATATACACAGCAAAACATACACCAATTCAACAGTTTCTACATGTACAATTTAGTGACACTGATTACACTGAGTTGTACAACCACTCTTACCCTCCTTTTCTGAGTTGTTCTTCCCTCATTAACATAAACTCACTCTCCCCTAAGGTTCCTATCTAATCTTTCAAGTTACTATTGTCAATTTGATCCAATATAGATAGACCTTAAAAGAGCATAATGTGCAAGGCAGACTTTTTTTTCCTAGTTAAGCTAATCTATAAACCAAACCAAACCCATTTCCATCAATTCCAACTCACAGAGACCCAATAGGACAGAGCAGAACTGCCCCATAGGGTTTCCAAGGAGCGGCTGGTGGATTCAAACTGTCAACCATAGCTCTTAACCTCTGTGCCAACAGGGCTCTTACAGTTCTGTTTTAAGATGACTTCAGGGGATATTTTTGGTTTAAGGTTTAAAGATTATGTCAGGGCAATAATTTCAGGGGTTCATGTCCCTTCATGGCCTTAGGAAGTCCATGAGAATTTTAAATTCTGTTCTGCATTTTCTCCCTTTTGATTAGGCTTCTTCTGTGGAATATTTGATCAAAATGTTCAGTAATGGTAGCCAGGCATCATCCAGTTCTTCTGGTCTAATGGGAAACAAATTGTGGTTTTTTTTTTTTCAAATTTATTTTGGAATAATTTCAAGCATATAGAAAAGTTGCAAGAATAATACAAGGTACTCCCACATATCCTTTTCCCAGAATCACTAATTTTTAACATTTTGCTATACTGCCTTTATCACCTTTTGCTCAATACAGAACATGCATGTCTACATTATCTTTTCTGAACCATTGAAAGTAGACTGCCTACATCATTCTCCTCTATCCTTACTATTCAATGTATATTTCCTAAGAACAAGGACATTGTCTTAGATAACCACAGTGCAGTTACCAAATTCAGAAAAGTTAACATTAAAACAATACTTTTATCCAATCTACAGTCCATATTCCAATTTTGTCAGCTGGGCCAATAATGTTCTTATAGCATTTCTCCTGCTTCCAGTTCAGGGTCCAGTTAATTTATTTTTAGTATAAAACCAGTGCTGTCATTGTACAGTTGTCCCTCGTGTGGATTCCTGTGCCTGCATTTATTCACCTTGTTTCCTAACCAGATTCTGAACATTCTGAAGGGAAATCTGAAACAACTTGTGAGTTACCCAGAAACCTCTTTAGGATGATTAATGGTGTTGCACTGGCTGCAGCCAGATCATCATTGGGTCAAGACCCCACTGCCAGGCAGAGAGAACAGATGGAAGCTCCAACATCCTATCTCGCCACCTTCTTCCTTTGGTCACTACCATTCTCTCCCCTCTTGTTCCAAGATTTTTGCTTGTTGAATAACTGTCCTTGAACCTCTACCTGTTAATTCTGCCTTGCTAATTACCAACCAGAAGTCTTCAGGTATTATAATGCAGAAAATAAACAAAAATGGGATTACTCAATGCATAATAAAGTGTCTAAACCTCAGTTCACAAATGGGCAAATAGGAAGTATCATAACATGACAAAACTGACTGTATAAGGTTTCCCCCCTTCCTTTAAGTTTATTTTAGTTTTCCCTAGTTAAAAAGTAATATATTTTCAAATAATTTATAAAACGTAGAAAAGAAGGAAAAATATCCCCACACTTAATCCCTCCCCCAAACAACTACCATTAATATTAAATTATTTTCCATCACCAGTAGTTATATTCCTTGAAACAATTTATAATCCTGGTTTACATAATTCTTAATTTATTCTTTAGTAAATATAGTTTGAGAATAGTCTATTATTTGTATAATTTTTTTTGCCGTTTCAGGCTGTTTAGATTGGCTATAAACTGCAATATCTTTTAAATATGCTGAACATGCTAGGTAGAACAGAGGTAATGATAGCTATATTTAAAATATGAATAATTAATTTTTCTAAGAAAAAAGAAATCAAACAATTCAGAAGTTGTTTTTAAACCAAAACCACAGATTTCAATGCCACCTACTGTGAAAATTATCTGACTAAGCTCTGGCTGGACTGGACAAAGTCTAGGGCAAAATCAATACTAACCTCTTTGCTTGGAGAAAATTCAAGAAGCAGATTACATAGCATGGAAGATGCTACTACTAGGATTTCATCTGGTGCATTTTGTAAAACCTATGGAATTAAAAAAGGGATACTATTAATGGTTTGGAACCATGGAGGTGAGATCATAATAAATGAGAACAAAAAAAATGTATCTTTCTATCTGATTTCTCCTATTGGAGATGGTTAGGAAAGACCCACTTGACCTAGTACTTTAATTATGACTGACTAAGGCCCTCACGTCTGTTTTGCTGGAGAAGTTGCGGCCCCAATTCCAGATGGGCAGCTACTGCAGGAAAACAGAGAGAGACACAATCAGGGGTTGAGGGGGCGGGGGCATGCTCTAGGTGAAAAGTGGTCAAATCAGACCACTTATGAAATCACAGAATTGCCCCAGAACCTGAGACTTTCTGATGTGTCTCTAGAAGGGCTTGTTTGAACAGGAGAACAGATGGATCAAGCTACTGCATGGGGTGGGGGCAATATGGGGGACAGGTTCTCAGGGTTTGGAATCATACAGCTCTGGTTCCAACTCTGACTCTGTCACTCACTAGATGTGTGAACTTGGGCATATTTCTTAACCTCTCTGAGCCTTCATTTCTTCATCTGTGAACTGATGAAAATAAGACCTCCCTAATAAGACTATCTTTAGGGGTTATAAGTTATATGGTGAATACTAAGGGAAGCAGCATAGCACGGAGATTAAGAGCATAGACTATCTGGGCTCAAATTCCAGCTCAACCACTAAATAACCAAAAACCCAAACCTATTGCCGTCGAGTCAAATTCCGACTCACAGTCACCCTATAGGACAGAGTAAAACTGCTCCATAGGGTTTCCAAGGCTGTAAATCTTTACGGAAGCAGAATGCTACATCTTTCTCCTGCAGAGAGGCTGGTGGGTTAGAACCGCTACCCTTCAGTTAGCAGTTGAGTGCTTTAACTACTGTGCCGCTACGGCTCCTGGGATCAGATGAGGCTCAGGCTTATTATTCCAAAAGGAGTCCTAGGAGCTCTACTTATGCAAATTGGAAATGAATACTCACAAAAAACTGCAGAGTTAAATACATTATCTATTTTGAACAGCTACACTAATTCTGAAGTTCCCAAGTTAAAAACAGCAAGAATTACAAAGTGAAAACAACTCTTCTAAGATTGTTTTAGTTCTTCTGTGAATTGTTAGCTAGTTGATAAAGATCAAATTACTAAACTGTACATGCTGACCTCTGTGTCTGCCACAATCCCTTTAAGACCCTGTTCAACCTCCCTTCCTACATCTCTGCAGGTGTACTCCCTATCCATGCTTTAAGGCCATCCCATTCCAGAAGCCTCCTTAAAGTCCAGAAGTCATCCTAGCCTCCTCTGAGCTCTCAGTCACTCTTTGTAACCCCTTTGAGGACCCTTATTACTGTCCCGTACTATTCAAATTCTTTGTTTAGCCATGCCTATCTCCCTGCTTCTTTTAGTAGATTTAAAATTCTTGAGGCCTAATTCATCTTGGCCTGGTACAACGCAAGGTACCATACACAGTGGGTGCTCAATAAATGTTGTGGATTGAATAAGAGAAATAACCACTTTCCAAAATTATACTACTTAGAATCATTAATTGAGTGTCTACCAGCGTTTGAAAACTTACAAAAATTGCTTCAGTTGACATGATTCTTTTTAAAATGTTACTTATTGTTTATAAAGATTAATTTGCTTTTATGAAGTTTTATTTTCAAATCAGATAACATTTAAAGATAAACTAAAACTTCTTAGAAGCATTCACTGAGGACAGCATGAGATACAACATGAAAAATTCCGATGTCAATATTTGATAATGACCAATTTTAATTTCACCAAACAGAAACAAAAAATGATCACAAATAAAAATGTTAATTAAGACCAAATGACTACTTTCCTGTGGTTTGTTAACCAACAGTTAAAAACAAGGGAAAGTAAAAGGGGAAAAAAATCAATAGGTACGCCAGCAGCCTCTGAGCTATGAGGAACCTATGTATATCCTAGGTGACAATGATTACTTCCAATCTCTTAAGCCTACTTTAAATGTGCAACAAAGTCTTTGATAATAAGTATATCCACATGTACCAAGCACACAAAACCCTTCTAGATTATCCACCAGAACTTTTCCCATGGTAGAATTAGTTAGAAATCGTCTGAGCTGACTAATCAGAGAAAATGGCTCCTGATGAAATGGGAGTTATTTCTCAGGAAACAAGAGAGCATTTGAAAAAATCTTGACTGGACAGAATCAATAAATTAAAATCAAGCTGTTATAAAAAAGATGTAATTTAAGAACAAGAGAGAATAGCAAAATAGTAAAAGAAAACTGAAGAGAGCCTTGAAAAATCCAGGAGTGGTAAATCTGGCCCAAAGGGTTTTGGATAAGGGATTGTGGATTTGAAATGGCCTTCTGTTGCACATTCCCTGAGCAACTGTCTTCCCAGTGTGGAAAGGCAATGATGTTGCAGTCGGAGAGTGAGGAGATGGTTAAATCACTTTTCTTAGATTTGGGGCTCTTAATGGAGCTCAGGAAGCAAAAGGATAGCAGGGAATGACAAATATTCAGAAAAGCTGACATATGTCCAATACAGTGAAAGACAGTGAAACTTCAGAAGTCTGCCAATGTCTGGAGATGGGTCAAGTTGGATGCCATGCAAAAGGGAAGAAATGAAAGAAACTTGTACTCTCCTAGTAAGCCTCACAAGGCCATGTCTTGATTTTTTAGGCTAGAAATCTTGATGCCACCCTGACAGTTCCTGAATCACATACACCTAATCCTGTCATGCATCGCACCGAAGTATCTCCAGGGGTCACATTTTCCTTCCTAATCCACTACTACCACCTTACTCCAAGACCTTTAACACATAAATCGTGCACTCTCAGAGATTAACCTTCCTATGAGATGATAACTCTCAGTGTGTTAGTTCCTAGAAACCTATGGCATCAGTCTTCCACCTGATCTTTACCTGTCTGGTGCTATGTCTCACTATATCCCACCTCTCTAGTTATAAAAGCATCCTCACTGTGTCCTATGTATACCATACATCACGTTTCTGCTCATGTTCCTTTCCCTGGAATATCCTCCTGTTTTCCAAGCCTCCTCATATTCTTCCTGCCTGAAGGCTTCCCTGACTCCTTCTGCCACATTGGATGCCCCTACTCTAACCTGTCCCAGAAGAAGTACAGCCAGAATGCTCCTTAGAAGCAAGGATGGCGAGACTTTGTCTAACGTATACTGGCCATGTTACAAGGAGGGAGCAGTCCCTGGAGAAGGACATCATACATGGTAAAGAGGGTTAGCAAAAAAGAGGAAGACCCTCAACAAGATGGACTGACACAGTGGCTGCAACAATGGGTTCAAACACAGCAATGATTGTGAGGGTGGCGCAGGACTGGGCAATGTTTCCTTCTGTTATACACAGGATCGCTATGAGTCAGAACCTACTTGATAGCACCTAACAACAACACTCTAACCTGATGGAACACTGGTGGTTCAGCGGCAGAATTCTTGCCTTTCATGCAGGAGACCAAGGTTTGATTCCCAGCAACACACTTCATGCGCAGCCACCACACGTCTACTTGAATGTTGCTATGATACTAAACAGGTTTCAGTGGAGCTTCCAGACTTAGAGTGGGAAGAAAGCCCTGGTGATCTACTTCCAAAAATCAGCCAGTGAAAACCCTATGGATCACAATGGTCCAATCTACAACTGATTATGGGAATGGCACAGGACCAGGAGCATTTTGTTCCTTTGTGCACTGGGTCGCCATGAGTTGGAGGCTGACTCAATGGTCGCTAACAACAACAAGAACTCTCACCTTAAGCTTTAGGCTGAGGGCAAGAGCTCTGTAGTACAATATTTTTGGTAGTCTCACTGTGACTGAAGGCTTTGCTTAGCACATAGTAGGTACTCAAAACAAAACAAAAAGACAAAAACAGACAAAAAAAATCCTATTAACTAAATACAAGCTGTATGGTCACTTTAGGAAAAAAAAAAAAATAAAAAGGACCAAAGACCAAGTTAGCTTGTGGTTCTGTGTGATTTATCAGGTGGTAACACTATTAGCAGCAACCTGATGGATACTTTAAGTCCTAATTCAGATTGATTTGACCCAAACCTTTTTGAGGGGATAAGGAGGGCCCTAGAAAGAAGACCTAAGATGAATAAAACATATTTTGGAGCAGAGAAGCAGGAAGTAACTAAAATTAAACACAGTTGTCTCAAAAAATAACCAAACACTGCCAAAAGCCTAAGAACAACAGGTTATACTTATAAATGACTGATTCCTTCTTATTAATAACTAAAAAAATATAAAGAAGACTCTGTACGTAGTCTAAAATGTAATTATAAACACATGAGGGAGATGATAAACTAAAGCTTCACTCTATAAAAAGGAGACCGGGCATGTACTTTCCCCTCACACATAAGGTGCTGACTTCAGAAACACATTCTGTAGTTTGTACATGCTTAGAATATCAGATTTTAGGAGGAAAAATATTCAAAATGCTTTATACAAAAATTAGACACACTCCTAGATCCAGTGAGTGCTCTCAGCTATCGCAGCTCACTAAAGGCTCTGTGATTATAGGTGTTACTTGGCTGGCCTTTCTTCTTACCTTCATTAAAGGTTTCCATACAGCGTGATCCTGGAAGCTGGTTCGAAGCTGCTGCACGGATCTGGATAAACTGTGCAAACATCTACAAAGAAAAATCAAAATTAGCTTCACAAGAAGCTGATGCTTTTACTTTTGAAACACAAACTGCGTGGCAATTCACAATTACTAATATACACTTCAAGTATATCTACAGAGATTGTTAATTACTTAGAAACAATTTGTGGGCTTTTGAGGCTTAGGTTCTCTGTTAAATAATATTACACACTGTACAGATTTACCTGGGCATACTTTCAAGTAACATTTGGATTCTCAGCTTACTCATTGGAGGTCCAGAAAGAAAATGGGTTAAAGACATGGCACGGGATTTTTATTCAGACCATTTAAAGCTCATACCTGACAGCAGCTAACCGCACCTTGACACTAGACTCAGACAAGCCAGTCACAATTCGGTCCATCATATTTTCAGTCTCAATGATCTGGAGAAAAAGGTTAATGCTGCATAAATAACAACACGAAGATGACAGACTTCACTGCTTATAAATAAAAGTATGTTAACATCCACTAGAAGTTTAATGTTGTTTTTGAGAAGAGTTTTTACCTCTGAAACAATGATCTTGCAATGAGGGCAGATTGCTCATCAGAAAGGTAGGTCTACCCCACTAAGGACCTGCCAGGCTAAATGACAGGCATAGGGGGCAGGTTATGTTTGTTATTTTTAAAGACATTTAAAACAATAATTAAATGGCATAAATATTGCAGAGGTGTTACACAAATAGTCTTGAGGAAAAGTAAAAGGTATGGATGAACTCCCACTGGGCAGATTCCTTCCAGAGTGAGAGATTAGAAAAACCACAGTCCTCAATCAGCCTTCATGAAATGAAATCTGTGGGTTCTGAGAGAGCTACCCTGTGGCTACTTTCTTACAAAGCAAATTGAAACTAAGTTAAATATTTAGAAAAGGAACCCTTGCCATTTTGCAGGGCAGTACCAAGTCCTGCTACTTGTAATCACTATAATCATGAAGCTTTTCTTTCTAACTTAAAACAATATAGTCTACAATTTTCCTTCATCAAGCAGCCGATAGATACAAAATAGTATACAGAAGAGATTAAGTTTAACTTGTGTAGTCCTATGAAAAAACAGCATTTATGTATTAGTATAAAATGCTAATACAATCACACCACCAATATTAACAACCCAACTAATTTTTATTGAGCATTTCTATATGCCAGGCATTGTGCTAAGTGTGTTGTATGTATTATCTCAAATGTAATCCTCATCCTTTTTTAGGAATTATGGTTACTCCCAATCGACATATTGGGGAATCAAGGAGCCTAGATAATACACAGCTTGCCTGGGATCACAGAGCTGAGACTGCAACTCAGGCATCTGACTCCAGAGTCCATGTGCTTAGCCTTACTTGTAATCTGTCCCTGGTTAGAGAAGTAGCCCTGTGTGCATCAGGTAGTTCACATTATGGGGAAATCACTAATAGGAGTCATTACTCTCACCTGGGGTGTGTTAAGACCTAAAACCAAACCCACTGCCATTGAGTCGATTCCTACTCATGGTGACCCTACAGGACAGAGCAGAACTGCCCTACAGGGTTTCCAAGGAGCGGCTGGTGGATTTAAACTGCCGACCTTTTGGTTAGTAGCCAAGCTCTTAACCACTGTGCCACCAGGGTTCCAGGAAAAGACCCAGACTAACCAAAAAACCGAAGCCAATGCCATTGCGTCAATTCTGACTCATAGCGATCCTATATGACAAAGTTAGAACTGTCCCATATGGTTTCCAAGGCTGTAAATCCTTATGGAAGCAGACTGCCACATCTTTCTTTCACGGAGCAGCCTGACTTTTTGGTTCGCGGCCAAGCTCTTAACCACTGCGCCACCAGGGCTCCGGAAGAAGACCTAGACCAACCAAAAAACCAAACCCACTGCCGTCGAGTCAGTTCTGACTCACAGCAACCCAATAGGGCTTCCAAGGCTGCAAGTCTCTACAGAAGCAGACTGCCACATCTTTCTCCCACAGAGGTGCTCGTGGTTTCAAGACCTAGACCAATGGATCACAACTCTGGCTGCAGAGAAGACTCACCTGAGGAGCTTTTAAAAAAATCTTCACCCAGACTAATTAAATTTAGTGTGGGACCAGGCATGTGTATTTTTTGAGTTCCCCAGGTGAGCCCAGGGGCAGCCAAGGTTGAGGGTCACTGACCTAAAGTGGGAGGATTCAGAAGGCTGACCTCAGAACAGGAAAGGGCAGGGAATCTGAGAATGTTCAAGCAAAAGAATGTTTCTCTTTTGCTAAAGGAGAAAAATATATAGTTGAAATTAGCAGTGACTAGAGAGAAGAGCATAAACTATTAAAAACAGGGAACCACACTTTAGCTGTATGTTAGAACTGATAATTTTTATATAGTGCTTTGCATTTTCCAAACTGGTCAAAGAAGACTTAAATATTGATCTATTCCCAACCTTAGATCAAATTCAATCTCATTCTTCCCTTTACACATACCCGCTCTGTCCTCACTGTGCTCAAACCCCTAGACTCCTCCCTCTTCTGCCTACCTACACTTTCTGACCCTCTGTACCTTCTCCCCTAACCTGGATGTCCTGCTCCACACTCCACTTAGTAAACAGACTTCCTTTCCTCCAAGCCCCCCTGCCACTCACTATTCCCGCTCCAGATCTCAAACTGCTAATGTTGAGTTGAAAAATCACCAAACTGGTTGACTGGTCTCTCAATGTATGCTCTCCCACTTTTGCGGGGCTCTTCACTGCTACTTGACTAGCCTTGTACTCACCTCCAGGAAATTCCCAAATTCCCCACGGTGTCTACTTCAAATTCTTCCCACCTCCTTCACGCTCTCAGCCCCTCTGTGCCCACCTCATTTTTGCTGAGACATTGCTTCCTTCCTGGGAAACAAGTTGCTGCAAATTCCCTCTTCTCATTAAATGCCTCCAGACTTTCACTTCTTTTTCTTCACTCCTGTTACAATGAAGTTGTATACTTCAAGCTCAAGCCCTTCCACTCTGATCCAACAACTACCTCCCCATATCTCTTTCTTGCATCTCTACTCAGCCCCACCCACTGGATCCTTTCCCTCAGCCTGCCCCATCTTCAACCCCAATTTAAAAGACAAAAGTACCCAAACTTTAACCTTTTCAAGCTATAATCCTCTTTTCTCTTCATTCCTTAACTGGATATGTATCCCAAGGCTCTGTCCATAACTCACTCTATACTTTGACAATGTTGTGGCTTCAAAACCAGCTCAGTATAGATAATTCCTTAATCTATAAATTCTGTCCCAGAGCTCTTTCCTAATCTCTAGCTCCATATTTCCAACTGCCTAGTAAACACAAACTGGATGTTCAGTGGAACTTCTAACTCATTATGTCCCATACGGAGTTTATATTTTCCTGAAAAACCTGCTTTCTGTATGTCTGTCTGTCTCTCTCTGCTAGTAATGTTACCATTTTCCCAGCCACCCAGGCACTAAATTTGTGTTAATTCTGACTCCAACTCTTCCTCCCTGAACATCCAATCAAGTGCCTTTGCACTATACCTTATATTCATTCCATTACCATTCTTACTACTCCATTAAATAGAAAGTCTCAACAGACCCATAACAAATTAAGGGATCGAATCAGTAATCGAAACCCCCCCCCCCCAAAAAAAAAGTCCTGGACCAGATGGCTTCACTGGGGAATTCTACCAAACATTTAAAGAAGAATTGACACAAATACTGTTTAAACTCCTCCAAAAGATAGAGAAGGAAGGAATACTCCCTAATTCATTCTACAAAGCAAATATAACCCTGATACCCAAACCAGACAAAGACACAGCAAAAAAAGAAAACTGCAGGCCAATATCTCTTATAAATATAGATGCAAAAATCCTCAACAAAATACTAGTGAACAGAATCCAACAGCATATTAAGAGTCATACACCATGACCAAGTGGGATTTATTCCAGGAATGCAAGGATGGTTCAACATTAGAAAACCAATCAATGTAATACACCACATCAATAAAACAAAGGAAAAGAACAATATGATCGTCTCTATGGATGCAGAAAAAGCATTTGATAAAATCCAACACTTTTCTTGATGAAAACCTTAAAAGAGACTGGAATAGAAGGGAAATTCCTCAATATGATTAAGGGCATATATAGAAAGCCAATAGCCAACTTTATACTTAATGGAGAAAGACTGAGAGCTTTGCCCTTGAAATCAGGAACAAGACAAGGGTGCCCATTCTCACCACTTCTATTCAATATTATATTAGCAGTCCTAGTCAGAGCAATAAGAGAACAAAAAGAAATAAAAGGTATCCAGATTGGAAAAGAAGTAAAATTACCTCTAATGCGAACGATAAGATTCTATACACAGAAAATCCCGAAGAGCCCACAAGAAAACTTCTAGAGCTAATAGAGGAATTTGGCAAAGTTGCAGGGTACAAGGTCAACAAACAAAAATCAGCTAAGTTTCTATACACCAGCAATGAGAAATCTGAAAAGGCAATTAGCAAAACGATTCCATTTACAATAGCACTTAAGAGGATAAAATACCTAGAAATAAATCTAACCAGAGACGTAAAGGACTTTTACAATGAAAACTATAAAACACTGCTGAAAGAGATTAAAAAATACTTAAATAAATGGAAAAGTGTTCCATGTTCATGGACTGGAAGACTTAATATTACTAAGGTGTCAGTACTACCCAAGTGAGCTACAGATTCAGCACAAACCCGATCAAAATTTCAACAGCCTTCTTTACAGAAACAGAAAAACCAATCCTCAAAACTTTATATGAAAAGGCAAGAGGCCCCAAATAGTTAAAACAATGCTGAAAGAGAAGAACAAAGTAGGAGAACTCACACTTCTGATTTTAAAACATAGCAACTACAGTAATCAAAACAGCCTGGTACTAGTGTAACAATAGACACAGAGACAAATGGAATAGAATTGAGAGTTCAGAAATAAACCCACACATCTATGGTCAGCTAATTTTTGACAAAGGTACTCAATGGGGAAAGAAGAGTCTCTTCAATAAATGGTGCTGGGAAAACTGGATTCCCCCATGCAGAAAAATGAAACAGGATCCTTGCCTCATATCATATACAAAAACAAATTCAAAATGGATTAAGGACCTAAATGTGCAAACTAAAATCATAAAACTCTTAGAGGAACAAGCAAGGGCAATGCCATCAGGCCTAGCTTTCAATGATGGATTATCTAATAACAAAAGCACAAACTGCAAAAGACAAAATAAATAAATGGGACCTTATAAAAATTAAAAACTGTCATTCACCAAAGCACTTTACCAAAAAAGTGAAAAGACAAGCTACCAACTGGGCAAGTATCTTTGGAAAACATATATCTGAGAAGAATCTAATAACAAAAATATATATAAATCTTCAACAACAAAAAGACAAATAACCCAATCATAAAATGAGCAAAGGATCTGAACAGA